TCCTGCTTGTGCCTGTCACCTAAAGGTGGCAGAGCTGTGCTACAGTTGGGCAAGCACTGCAGATTATGGGAGTGCTGGCAGCGACTGGATTAGGAACAGAGGCTTGTCCTTGGACTGTGCCAGCTGCGAACAGCGCAGGAACATCTAGTTCAAGGATTGCCCCTTGTTTAGTGCAGCACAGTGCCGTGCACAGTTCAGGCTGTACAGTGCTAGGACTGCTCCGACAAGAGCAGCCGCATGGCTGCAACCTACGTGAGAGCCACTTTTAGCAGCGTCTGGAGCGCTCGGGCTCGCTCACGACCTGCAGTATCTGGGGCATGTCCTGTATACTGATTCTTCAGCAGCATCAAGCGCTGCAGCAGCTCATTCAGCGCCCCGATAACGCTATTGTCCCTACTTGGTGGTGTCTGTAAAGCTGAACACGATTGTCATGCCAGCGGAGACATCCCTTGGGGAACGGGGACCTCCTGCAGTAGTTCTCTCTAAGGCTGAGCTGCAGGGCCTTGGGGCTCCCCTGTTGTGGAGGGTTAATTGTGCCGGCGGTAGCCCTGCTGCGGGGACCAGCTGTGCCCTCCAGGACGCTTGCAAGCTTGCACCCGAGTTCCCCAGGCTCGGCGCCTTTGTTTGGAGCCTCCTCGCTAACGCCGTTTCACCTCGTTGTCCTGCCTCACAGGAGGAAATTGCCAAATACGATAAGATCTGCGAGGAAGCCCATGCCAGATCCAAGGATGAAAAGATCTTGCATATCAAGCACTGGCTGGACTCACCCTGGCCTGGTAAGTTGCTATCAGCTTTCTGGAGGCACCTAGCAAATAACCTGGCTTCTCTAGAGCTCCGTAGGACTCCTGGTGCCCTGGCAGCTGTGTCCCAGTGAACACACGCTCGTGGGAAGGCTAGGGGGTGCTCTCTCTGCTCCTGGCAGACCCTGGGCATCCCCACTCTTGCTAAAGGGCGTTTGCCAGTGTCCAGAGCTCTGTGTGTCAAGCCTGGTGTGGCCTTTGAGATGTTGCAAATTGCTCCTGCTCTCCCAGGTTTCTTCACTCTGGACGGCCAGCCCCGGAGCATGACCTGCCCCTCCACTGGTCTGAACGAAGACGACTTGACCCATATAGGGCAAGTGGCCAGCTCGGTGCCGGTGGAGGATTTCACTATCCATGGAGGTAGGAGGTTGCTGAAGCTACTCCAGGCTGTGGGTTTGTTCCAAAGAGCCCGATGTTTAGAGGAGATGATGCAGGAGAGGGCCTGAAGACAGCCTGGAAAACAGAGGCCTGTTACACTGCTTAGATACGCTTAGGTGTAGCTCTGAGAGTTAGTTCACAAGGGAGCTATGGTTGAGGGAAGTAGACTGAGGAGTAGCTCTTCTTTGGAGCTGATCCTCCCTGCAGTCCTGGTTCCTCATCCCTGCTTCATCCCTTGAGCAGAGGTGGATCGTTTCTCTGCCTTGAGGTGTGTGCACAGTCTCTCAGTCCACGGGCAGGTCAAGAGCGTGAGACAGTCACGTTTTCACTGGAGCTACCTTCCACGTGGGCTACAAACCGTCTTCTGTCCCGGCAGGTTTGAGCCGAATTCTAAAAACCCGCGGGGAGATGGTGAAGAACAGGACTGTGGACTGGGCCCTAGCAGAGTATATGGCATTCGGCTCCCTCCTCAAAGAAGGCATCCACATCCGCCTGAGCGGCCAGGATGTGGAGAGGGGCACGTTCAGGTAAAGCAGTGCTTCTGCCTCCGTTCAGCTCCTGCTAAAGGGGCTTCCAGCCTTCCTGGAAGGGATCCTGGGTGATGCAAACAGCCTTCATCCTGGGTTATTTGCCATCCTGGGCCACAGTCTTTCCTCAGCAAGAGGAGCACCAGGACAGTGTATCAAGCAGCTGGTGCCACGAGCCGGGAAGGGGAAGGTGGCTGAGATGAAGCATAAATGAGGCAGCAGCTTGTGTGCAGCAGCTTGTGTGCGGCAGGGGAAACCATCGAGTAACGCTTTCCCCTCTTCCAGCCATCGCCACCACGTCCTGCACGATCAGAACGTGGACAAGAGGATCTGTATCCCCATGAACCACCTGTGGCCTAACCAGGCTCCTTACACGGTGTGCAACAGCTCCCTGTCAGAGTACGGCGTCCTCGGTGAGTGCGGAGGTCTGCACCCACCGCCGGTGGCGGGGGGAAGCAGTGTGTGTGCTCCGGGAAGATAACCGCCCTCCTCCTCTGCTGTCCCACAGGGTTCGAGCTGGGCTTCGCCATGGCCAGCCCCAACGCCCTGGTGCTTTGGGAGGCCCAGTTTGGGGACTTCCACAACACCGCCCAGTGCATAATCGACCAGTTCATCTGTCCCGGGCAGGCCAAGTGGGTCAGGCAGAATGGCATTGTCCTGCTACTGCCCCACGGCATGGAGGGCATGGTAAGGGCCCCCCTCGTTTGTGGGCAAAGCCCGAGCACCTCGCACCGCCTGCAAGCGCTCGGTGAGGCCCTGTGCCTACCGCCTCTTGCGCGGCGGATCGAGGGCAGGGTGGGCCCATGCTGGCGGTGATACTGCCCCATTGCTAGCAGGAGCGTGCTGCCGGCTGGGAGAGGGAAGGAGCAGGGCTTAACGCAGTGCCGTACAGCACAGAGCTTGGAATAACTGCTGCGACAAACCCGCTGTGTTGTTTTCAATCAGCCTTTTCCCCTCTGACCAGGGTGAAATGCCCCAGGCAGCCCTGTGTGCTCTGCAGCGTCGGCTTTGGCCGCCCTTGGCGAGCGGGGTCTCCGTTCCTTGCACCAGCCCTGCAGAGCGTTCACTCTCTCTCTTCTTCTCTCTCTCTCTCTCTCTCTCTCTCTCTTTCTCTCTCTCTCTCTCTCTCTCCCCACTTCGCTTGGCCTGCAGGGTCCAGAGCACTCATCCGCCCGCCCGGAGCGATTCTTGCAGATGTGTAACGATGATCCTGACGTCTTCCCTGTGAGTGGTGGCTGCGCTGAGTTCAGCCCGGCCCCCTTGTTTGTCTCTCCTAGGGCACTCGCTGTGCCCTGGAGCCCATCGCTGCTTTGAAATGGAGGGGGGGGGGGCAGTAACACCCGGACTGGCTTTGTACGACACTTCGATTGGGGTGGGTGTCATGTAGCCGATGGTGGGGGAGGCATGTGACTCCCTGAGCTCTTAGTGCAGCTGGGAGACTTTGGGAAAGGGATCAAACCTGGTGCCAAGGCTGCACCTACACTGCCTCTGTGGCCGCTGCTCAGTGGAAGGCAGAGGTGTCCCCAAAAGTGGTGTGTAGCCCATGAGGGAGGGGGTTTCTGTCTGTCCCAAGGTGGGGGGCACAAGCGTGCAGCCTCTCCCATTGCCGTGGTCTCTGTGGGATGCTCTGAGCGGGAGCTGGACTGGCTAGAAAGGAGATGAGAGGGGAGGAAAAAGGGCTGTACGCTGCTGTCCTGGCTGTTGGAGCTGCAAGGCCAAGAGGTGCTTGTGTTTCTCGAAATCCCCTCAAACTGTGCTTGTCGAGGCAGAAACTGGATGACTTTGATGTGCGCCAGCTGTATGACTGCAACTGGATCGTCGTGAACTGCTCCACTCCAGCCAACTTCTTCCACGTCCTTCGGCGCCAGATCCTCCTGCCTTTCCGCAAACCGGTCAGTGCCAGCGGGCCCGCTCTCAGCTAGGCCTGCCTCTGCCGTTCTGCTTCGCTTAGTCCAGGTCAAAGCCAAGGCAGGGAGGCCCTGGGTCTGCGCCGAGCCTGGGGACAGGATTTAGAGCGGGCCTGCTTTTGCACCTTGTCAGCAAACATGCGCAGAACAGTGAAACGGACCCAGGAGCAAAAAGCGGGGAACCCAGCAAATGATGGGTGCTGCTCTCTGGGCTGCAGGATTGCTCCCAGCAGAGAGGAACACGCTCCCGACTGATGTGGGTTTAAAAACACTCATGTCCTTGGGAAAACAGAGCAGCCTGTCTGCTCTTGTGACCCTGCATGTCATCCCATACCCCTAGGGCTAAGCGAGCAGTTAGCCCAGGTCTGGGCCAGCAAGGACCGAGGACCCCTTGTTGCGTGGGCTGCCTCGGTACGTGACATCCTGCTAGCTGGTTCTTGCAGGCTGGGGTCTCTGCGATCCTTAGGTAGATCAGAGACATCAGGGCTGGGAGGCATTGATAAATAATCCAGTCCAGCCACTTGTGTTCCACCTCCCAGCGATCCGGCCGCATCCACGCGGGGGAGGCAGGTCTCTGGCAGCGCTTCAGCCTCTTCCCCAGGGGAAACGCAGACCGGGAAAGCAGGAGGTGTTGGAGGCTGGCGCTGAATCTTGCAGCACAGCAGCCGAGCAAGGAGCAAACCTCTCAATGGCTGCTCCTGCGTTCAGAGGTTGGAGAGGGCAGGCAGGACAGGCAGGTCTATGCTCCGGTGTTCGTTTGCAGGGGAGGTGTTTCTGGCATGGCTGACTGGCTTGCTTTGCCTCTTCTCCTCCCCCTCCAGCTCATAATCTTCACTCCAAAGTCACTGCTGCGCCACCCTGAAGCTCGCTCCAGCTTCGATGACATGCTGCCAGGTACGAGAAGCCCGGAGGTGTTTGTTTCCCCGCGCTCGGCTCTGCAGGACGAAGGGTGAAGGGCAGGAGCTAGCTTGGTGTAAAGTCCGCCTGGCAGCAGCAGCAGCCTCCCCTCGCCGCTCTTGGCCGGGGTTTCGCGCTGAAGAGCGGATTTTGCACCAGAGCTGCTGAGCAAGGCTCGCTCTTCCAGAAGCTGGGGTCTGCCTTGCCACAGCGAACCTGTGCGTGCCGGAGCCCGTCTCTGGGCTGGTGCGTGCCGGCAAACCGCTTCCCTGGGGAGGTCCTGCTCAGGCAGCCCAGTGCTGAGGCTTGCGTCCCACGGAGGATTTGCATCCTCGCGAAGCTTCGCGCTGGTGCCTGGGCACGGCAGACAAGTAGCTCTGCGCTAGGATGGGGCCGAGCTCTCCCGTGTAGGAGGAGGCTCAGCTAGCGTGGCACGAAGGCTGCTTTCCTCCCTGCTCCAGGGACGTCTGCCTGCTCCTCTCTCTCTTCAGCAGAGGCAATATGTTCACCCGAACGAACGGAGGTCAGGGCGTGCCAGGCTGCAGCCGGCTACTGAGCAGATTGGAGCCACCCATTATTAGCGCTCTGTCTGGCACCCTGGGGCTGGTGGCTCTGCCTGTCACTTGCCAGGCCAGTACACGGCTCTTAGGGCAACCGCACACCAGCATTTCCAGCGTCTCCTGAGCCCCTAGGAGCACCGGGCTTCCTCTGCGGCGAGGAAGACAGGTGGCTCAGCTTCCCGGGCGCTTTGCCGCGTCGCTTCCTCTGTCGGCAGTCACTTCCTGCCAGAGCTGCGCGGACGGGGTTTGACAACCCCACGCCCTGCGTCCTCTCGAGGGCTTGTATTCGGCACCGAAGGCTGGGTGCTCCCAGCCTTTTTCTGGCCTTGCCCAGCTGAAGGTTGCGCCCTGTCCCTTCCGCTGTGGTTTGTCTGCGTAGACTCGTATCCTCCCCACGCTGCAGGGACGAGAGCAAGCTCCTCTCTGCTGGCCCGGTGCTCTCAGTGGGGCTTAGACAGGCTGCCCACGAGTTGCACTGTGGCTAAGTCCAGGTCCAGACTTGGTCACTAGGGATGGGGCAAAACCAGGGTGGTTTAGGGTCATCTTCTGCAGGCATGCTAATAGCATCTAACTGGCATGAGCAGGTATTTTGTCCCATCCTGAGAGGAGCAGGCCCTGCCGGGGCAAGGTGCCACCTTCCAGTGTGTGCTGGTGTCCCTGGAAGGCGGGCTGCACCTCTCCCAGCAGCGGCCAGAGCTGCTTTTCCAGCCCTCTGAGATAAGCAGCTGGCCGGGCTCCTCCCCACATTCCTGCCTGATGTTCTCCTTTCTTATTTCTGGTTGAGCCACCTTGTTTCACAGACTTCCCGGGGCCTCCCTTAATGAACTACACCCTGTTTGCCCTGGGAACGCTCATTGTCACTGCCTGCCAGCAGAAGAGCAGGCAGAAGGGTCACAACCCAACCCAGGTTTGTCATTCCTGGGAGTTAACTCTCTCTGCGGTGGTGTCAGCCGGCCCCAGGTATTGTGGTCCTGTCCCGGGGAACAGCCTGTCGCTCTGTGCAGCGGGCGGGGGTGCAGTTGGGGTCAGGGACAGGAATGCAACACAGGAACGGCACAAAGCACGTTGCGCCTCCCTGGGAGACGTCGCACACGGGTGAAGGCGGCTCCCGACGCACCACGGTGTCGATCTGAGGTCGGTGCCGCTGTTAACGGTGGCGTCTTGTCTCTTTGCAGGCACCAACTTCCTCCGTGTCATCCCCGATAGCGGCCCTGCGGCCCAGAGCCCCGAGAATGTCAAGCGGGTGCTGTTCTGCACCGGCAAGGTGTACTACGACCTGACCCGGGAGCGCAAGGCCCGGCAGATGGAGGCCGACGTGGCCATCACCAGGGTGGAGCAGGTGAGCGAGGCCCCCGGTACGGTGCACGGAATTGCCCTCTGCCGCCCTGAAGGCCGGCGTTGGCTCTCTCACCGAAAAGCAGGGTCCGAGGGGATCCAGCCCGTGCGCTGGGACAGCAGGGCCTGGGGACGTGCCGTCTCGCTGTCCTGCGGCTCCGCCTGTGCCAAGCACGTGGCTTGACGGGGCGCGGGAAGCGGGTCGTTTCCCCTCGGCTCTGTCCCGGTGACGGCTCTCCCCTCCCGCAGTTGTCTCCGTTCCCCTTCGACCTCCTCCAGAAGGAAGCGCAGAAGTACCCCAACGCCGAGCTGGTCTGGTGCCAGGAGGAGCACAAAAACCAGGGCTATTACGACTACGTGAAACCCCGTCTCCGCACCACCATCAACCGGGCCAAGCCCGTGTGGTAAGGAGCAGGGGCCGAGGCCCCGCTGCCGCGGCGGGTGCCGGCTGGGCCCCGCTTTGGCCGAGGCGCCTACGCCGCAGCCCTCCCTCGGC